GCATCGACATAGTCGAGGTCAGTCAACCGGCGTCCGGGAGCAAGCTCAATACCGTCACTCTCTTGTAGAGCCTTCCTGAGAACCCATTCAATGGCGTACTTGAAGAGGATGGGCGACAGGACACAGCCTTGCAGAACGCCTGACCGAATAGCAAAGGGTTCTGAGAGGTTGTTGTGGACTAAAACCTGCGCAGTGGTGGAGCGCAGTCTTGACACCGGACCCGGGAGGAGAGGGCGTTAGATGATGCGCCAGTTAACTATCACTACAAACTGACAGTGATCCCTGCGGCCTCCCCTGTCATTGGGCACACGGTGGGCATAGACAGAAATGACTACAAAACTATCGCTCACACATGTGACTGCATTCTGGTAATGCAGGTCTGTAGTCCCAAACACAACGCCGCTTAAACTGGTCACACTAATGTGGACTGGGCTATCGGTGTCCTTATTGCATTGCCATAAAAGTAAAAAGCGTCTCTAGAACTTACCCTCGCCAATGTTAGAGGAGATAAGGTAGCGAATAAACTGTTTCATGTTGTTGTAGATGGCTCGACCCTCCTCAACCGCAGCAACAATAGTTGCGAAGTTGTCGTCAGCCAAAATCATTTCAGAGGCGGACTTGGCCACTGCGGTTCCGCTGCCCATGGCGATACCAATTTCGGCCTTCTTTAGTGCCGGAGCATCGTTGACACCGTCACCAGTCTGTTTGTAAGGAAAAATGTAGGCAACATGAGTAATAACCTAAACATGGAATAAGCCTACCAAAGGGGGTATGCCTCGAAGATTGACCCCAGAAGTCGGCTAGAGGAGCACGCAAAGCTTCATATGTAAATTGACTTATATCGTGGAAAAAACAAGTCGCAGCGCTACAACAAGCGTTTTATGCCGTCCAACATGTGGGACGGCACTGGGGAAAGGAAAAACTACCCATTACAACAGTAAACTACCTGTAAAGTGTAATGTTTCAGTAAACTAGTCTGAAGTTTAGTATTAGTGGGCTTCGGATGTGAGGTACATGTATAGCCAATAATCTTGCATTTAACCTGCTTATGAATTTTGCCCTTAGCACCAAACTGTTTATATAAGGTACAGTCATTTTAACTGGATAGGTGGACCTTAGAAGGGATTACAAAGTCACTGATTGTTCATAGGACAATCACAATGTGCCTCCTCAGGCAAAGATACAGGAAATTTATGTTGATTTCTTAAAACAACAACGGCAGGAAGATGAAAAGTACCTGCTAATCAAATAGAATTTATGACGTCACTATGAGAAATAGTAGAGCGTTTGAACCAACGCTTAGTGATCCACGCCGGTTTACCTCAG